AGATGATGGGATCAAATGCACGCTCAGTAAGTTTGTAGATTACACCAAGTTGCGTGGGAGTGTTGATCTGCTTGAGAGTAGAAAGGGTCTACAGAGGAATCTGGACAGGCTGGATTGATGGGCTGAGGCCAGTGGATGAGATTCAACAAGGTGAAATTCTGGGTCCTGCACTTGGGTCCTAACAACCCCATGCAACACTACAGGCTTGGGGAAGAGTGGCTGGAAAATTGTGTGGTGGAAATGGACCTGGGAGTGTTGATCAACTGACACCTGAATATAAGCCAGCAGCATGACCAGGTGGCCAAGAAGGCCAATAGCATCCTGGCTTGTATTGGAAATAGTGTGGTCAGCAGGACTAGGGAAGTGATTGTTCCTCTGTTCTTGGCACTGGTGAAGCCGCACCATGAATACTGTGTTGAGTTTTGGGCCCTTCACTACAAGACAGACACTGAGGTGCTGGAGCATGTCCAAGGAAAAGCAACAAAGCTGGTGAAGGATGAAGAGAACAACTCCTATGAGGAGCAACGGAGGGAACTGGGGTTGTTTAGTCTGAAGAAAAGGAGTCTCAGGGGAGACCTTATCACTCTCAACTGCCTGAAAGGAGGTTGTAGCAAGGTGGGTCCTGGTCTGTTTTCCCAAGTCACAAGTGATAGCACAAGAGGAAATGTCCTCAAGTTGCACTACAGGAGGTTTAGACTGGAACAGGCTGCCCAGGGGAATGGTTGAGTCACCATCCCTGGAGGCATTTAAAAGACCTGTACACATGGTGCTTAGAGACATTGTTTAGTGCTGGACTTGGTAGTGTTAGGTTAATGGTTGGACTTGATGATCTTAAGGGTCTTTTCCAACCTAAATAATTCTATGATTCAATTAGGTGGCAAACCTATTTGGCAGTGTGAATCCAGCTGATTCACAGATCTGGCATCTTTGGAAACTGGGGAATTTAGTTGTTCTGGATGCAGTTTTTCAAATTTATACTTTAGAAAATCAAACACATACACAAATATATTCATTAATGACCATGGAATAAAAATATGCCACTTTAATTCACTCTGAAAGGAAACTATTTACCAAGAAACAAAGTTGGTCCTGACTGGATTCGGGGGTTGGGCCCCCACAGAGTAACCTCCATTATTCAGGCCTGAATTATTCTGTTGTACTAGCCATGCTTTAGGAACATCAGTTAGCTCAGAAATCTCAGCAGCATAATCTGGGAAGGTAGCTTCTATTTGTCTCAGTGATGTAAAACCTTTAATGATATTTTTTGAGAAAAAAAAATCTACTTTTCAAATTTATATGTGTCATAGAACATAAATTCATACTACTGACTTCATTATACATTGTTGCATAGTATTTCGCTCAAGAATCAGTGTATTTAATTAACTGATGTCTTTTCTAAGACACTGATGTCTAGTGCTTCCCACTTAGCAACAGAATACAAGAGCAGGTGCTTGAGTTTCAACTCTGCATGTTTCCTCTAATGCATCTGTAAGATACTGAACTGTGAACAATTTCTCTGAAAGAATACCTGCCTGTAAGGATGACTGCAAAGTCATGGAGGCCTCCAGCTTGAGAAAAACATCGCGTGTGCACATTTGGAGATATGCAGGTATGTTTCTTTTGCTGATCATGCGAAAGTTGTGTGATAGATGAAACTGAAAGCACATGGACAGTGTATGAGACGTACATGCATGTACTGGACTGTCCTCTATAAAAAGACCTCAGAAATAAGCCATGGTATGCACCTACCACTGAAGAACTGAAGACTGAGGACTTACAGGACGCTGTGGATCCATGGTGGTGACTGTGCTTGCTACTCTATTCTGACTGCTTGCTCGATTTCTGCCTTTTCATTCCATTCCATCCTATTGTTATTATTTTTCTACTTTTGATAATAAAAACTGTTCAGGGCATACAGCATTTGAACTTGTTTGCATCTTAATCTCGCTCTTGGAATCATATTGAAACCTCCCCCAGCACTGGATCGGGACAGCATCCCATTACCTCTTGAATCAAGGCACAATATGAAATAACAGCAATTTGGGCTACTGAACATGTCACAGAGGTACAGAAATGAATTACTTAATTTTCTTAACTTTTAGTTTTATTCCTAAGTAAAGAATCACATCAAATTGGAATTAAAGTAGAAAACAGATCCAAGTAGTTAATGATAAATCATATAAAAGGATATTGTGACTTACCCATAAATGAACCAATAGAAACACAAGTCTGAAAAATTTAAGCTTTGAGCTGTGCAAAAAATGTGAAAGGAAATCACGTAAGCTGAAGCTCACATTTATCACATCCTTTGATTTAGAATATAAGCTGCACTCTGCCCAGTAGCAACATCATACAACAGAGTTGTCCAACTTTCCTGACCCTGTGAGCAGCATACCAAAATCTTCACCACAAATGCAATAGACTCCACTTGCAGGGCAGCCTCAGCATCAAATCAAAGCATCATAGAATAGTTTGGGCTGGAAGAGACCTTTAAAGGTCATCTAGTCCAATCCTTCCTGCACAGAGAAGGGACATCTTCAACTAAATTAAATTGCTCAGAGCCCCATCCAACCTGGACTTGAATGTTTCCAGGGATGGGGCATCTGACACCTCTCTGGGCAACCTGTTCCAGTGGTTCACCACCCTCATCATAAAATATTTCTTCCTTATATCGAGACTAAATCTACCCTCTTTTAGTTTAAAACTATTACCCCATGTCCTATCATAACAGGTCCTGCTAAAACGTTTGTCCCATCTTTCTTATAAAGCCACTTTAAGTACTGAAAATCCACAATAAGGTCTCCCCCGTTTTCTCTTCTCCAGACAATCCCAAATCTCTCAGCCATTCTTCATAGGAGAGGTGTTCCATCCCTCTGATCATTTTTGAGGCCCTCCTCTGGACCTGCTCCAACAGGTTCATGTTTTTCTTGTACTGAGGACTCCAGAGCTGGATGAAGCACTCCAGGTGGGGTCTCACCAGAGCAGAGTAGAGGAACAGAACCACCTGCCTCAACATGCTGGCCACACTTCTTTGGATGCAGCCCAGGTTACTTTCTGGGCTGTGAGCACATATTGTTAGCTTATGTCCAGCTTTTTGTCCACCAGTATCCCCAGGTCTTTCTCCACAGGGCTGCTCTCAATCCCTTCATTCCCTAGCCTGGATTGATACCAGAGCTTGCCCCAACCTACGTGCAGGACCTTGCACTTGGCCTTGTTGAACCTCATGAGTTTCACATGGTCTTAATTCTTGAGCTTGTCCAGGTCCCTCTGAATGGCACCCCATCCCTCAGGCATGTGAACTGCACCACTCATCATGGTATTGTCTGCAAACTTCTTGAGGGTGCACTCAATCCCGCTATGTCATTGATGACAATATTAAACAGTGTTGTTCCCAGTACAGACCTCTGAGGGACACCACTTGTCACCGATCTCCATCTGGACATTGACCACTACCTTCTGGTTGTGACTCTCCAACCAATTCCTTATCCACCAAACAGTGCACCCATCAAATCCATCTCTCCAATTTAGGGAGGATGTTGTAGGGGACTGTGTTAAAGGCCTTATACAGAAGTCTAGATAGGCGACACTGGTCATTTCTTTATACAGGTAGGGACTTGTATTACCTCACAACCACTCAATGCTGGCACAGGATTCATGTTAAAACTGCAGAAACTTCATCTAGCTGGAGAATCTGAGCCCAGGTGCAGGCAGAAAAACTTCTAACATACACTTCCCGTGTAGTTAGAAACAGAAGCACAGGGCTATAGAAATCACCCAACCAAAACATGCTCTGAAAAATGCTAAGAAAAAATAGACCTTCCAAACAGACATTTGTCTACTATGTTATTGTTCATATTATTAATGATTGTTATTCATAACAATGACATTTTAATTATTATTATTAATATTAATAATTAACAATAATAGCAATAAAATAACAAAAAATTTAGGGGAAGGAAAATGCCACACTTTTCTGGGTGTAATTCCATCATCCTCTCCATAAAGAAGATGTTTTTCTTAGTATTCTAACACTTCCTTTTTGCTAACTAAGCTGATTTCTTCTTATCTTTTCCTTAACAATGCAAGGAATCATCTTTAGTATCCTCCCAATATAGGAAAGCTGATAGAAGGAATGTCTGTTAGCTTGTGTAGTCTTGATGGACATTATATTTATATTTACAGGAAAAGAAAGCAAGAGTTTCTTCTCTCTTTTTTTCCGTTTCACAATGGCATTATTGAAGTGGGCCTTTCTACCCCAGAAGAAAGAGGCATGACAGGGTACTGCATGAATCAGCATCAAAAAAATCCTTTTGTGATAATGCATTAGAATGGTGAGGAGAGTAAAGTGTTCAAGAGTAGCTATAAAAGCACAAGGAAAACTGAGCCCAGTTACACTTTTAGTAGTTTTTTTTTAATTATTATATCTTGTTTATATAATAAATGCTGGTGAAATGTCAGATTGCGTTTTTGTTCTTTGTTACACAACACTGTTACTCAGTTTGGCAAAAGTGGATTTATGCTTCTTGCAGTGCTAACTATTCATTTATTCTGGTATTACCTTGCAGCATGCAAACAAGCAAGGACACCAAAAAACGGACATCATCTCAGTTCCGAAGTTCTGAGCAAGGTAAAGCCATATACAGAAAAATAATAAAAAGAAGTTATGGCATGTTCCACTGCGTAATTGCTAGTATTGTATTATTTTAATGAGAAGATTTATCATATTATGAACAGAGCTGCTATGAGCCTTCCACATGTGAGAGCCTGTTTGGAAGCTGATTTCCCACTGGGTGACTGAAGAATAGATACCTAGTGAGTTTTTATCATGCAATATAATACATGAAGTAGAAACCAACTATATTATGTAGGCACAGCTCTAAGCAATTCTGAAGAGAGCAATTTCAGATACAATTTGGTTTCATATTGGTTTTATTACCATTAGGACACACAGACCTGTTTTAACATTTCAGATTAGGGACGCATTTTTAATACCTTTCTTTCTTCAGCACCGATCTTTACCTCATATTTGAAAAGAAGAGGAAAACAACATTAAAAATACACTCTGGAGTAATGTACTCCTAAAGTAAGCTTCAGCATTACTTGAAGATATTATAGATTGGTTGATATCTTGAAGGATGATAGTGGAGCTCTTTCTTTTAATAATGTTTTAACTATTAGTATGTGTTCATAAAATCTAAAAAAAAAAAAATATGAAAGTTTTAGGTAAGAAAATGATAACTAAAAATCTGGGGACTGAGGTAGCATATTTGTAAAGAACTACCAGTAATTGCCTACTGACACAATGAATTTAGATGGACAAGTAAACTTTAGACTGGGAATGTGTTAATATCATGGCTTATTTAAAATACCAAAAAAAAAAAATTTTCTAATAGGTATACATAAAACATTTACAGAAAAAAAAAAATACAAAACCAGAATTAATTCAAAAAAAGGCTGGTACTGAAAGTATAAGCCCCCAGGTACAAGAGATTGTTAACATAAGTGAAAATCTCTCACCAATTCCCCAGTTATGTAATTACATGATTTATTCTAATGCTCTGCCACTGCCTTCTAGCCAAATGTGCTCACCAGGGGAACACACCTGAGCTGAGCTCTAGCGAGCATTACTTCTTCTTCTCCTTCAACAGCTTAAAGAGGACAGCTGTCCCAGCAGGCCTCCATGCCCTTCTCAAACTCTATTAACAGGGAGGAGCAGATCATGGGACCTATTAAGATGGCACATCTCAGGGAAGCATATCTACCACATCATAAGCAATAGCTCTTTGACAGCGTTTATGTGGATTCCTCTGATGCTGACTAGGAAGCAGTTGTCCATAGGTCCAGAAGTGGGAAATAAAAATGACTCTTGAAAAATGCCTGTAAGATCCAAAAAGGGAAGATATTAAATGACAAATCTTTAGTTAATCCTCAATGAAAAAAATCATTTTCTGTATACAGGTTCAAGTATATTTTTAAGGTGTAAACCAAAGAATAAAACCCTAGTGTAAGCTAAATGCTGTTGATACAATCCCACAGAAGTCAGCAACAGAACGTTTACCTATTTCTAAGTTTGTTTCTGTGGATAAACTTTAAGAGATGTGCATCAGAGGTCAGTTAAAGAGGAATAAAAAAGGAGCAGCTCCACTGTGGCCAAAAGACTTACATATGTTCACTTAGTGTCTTAAATCGGCCCATATTCAGCTTCAGGAGATTCTTCCAATGACACAGCAGCAATTTTGCTATGTTTTGCTGCCATCCAGAGACTTGTTTCTCACAAGTTGAGTACAAGTGAGTCTTTCTGCTCCTTGTTACCATATCAAGGGTTGTCCAGAAAAGATTGTGACAGACAGGGAACAAAGCAAATTGTTTAGAAAATAAATATCTTGGGAAAAAAAATGACATTTCAATCCAGGAACATAGGAAATACTCCAGTTCTAGGAGCTTAAGCACACATTTTTTAGCAAGTCTTTATTTGGCACATACTGCCTCAGATGTCACAGAAAGATGGGGAAAATAAGATTTCAAATGTGAATTAACTAAGCCTCAGGACTTATACACAGGCTAACCAATCCTGTTCATTTGCTTTGATAACAGCCTTAGAGCAAATACTTATGAAAGTAAATAGCTCTTAACTACTGTTAAGTAATATGTCAGAAACCACACTAGCAAAATTTTTCTTTACAAGAATCTTAATCAATACAGCCTACTTCTTAACAAATTTTCTTAAGAAAATTTACCAAAGATTAACCTTCATATTAGTTTTTGAAACTGGCAGTGTGGAGATGAACATGTCCTATTTTGTCTAGACCGGGTTTGGTGATATGTACACTTCTGGTGAGACTCAGCATTTTTAAAAGTCATGTTCACTTTAAGATGCCTCATTATAGTACTAGGTCACTAAATTCAAATGTTTATATTTCAAAACTTTGACCTTCAACTCCACAGAAATTATCTTTTTCCTCCTAAACATTTATTTTTTTTTCTTCAGCCTTCCATGTTACAATGTCAGCAGCTTGTAGAAAGCTATATATTATATTTCTAATGGAGTGATCTTGAAATATTCATTCAAATCTTGCTACAGCAAATTATTGTCCTATACTAATGGGATTTTATTGTCATAGGGACACAATAAGGATCTAGAATATAAGTATTCTAGAATTAATGGCATCCATAAATGCCATTAACCACACTCAGTCACTTGTCTTGCAAATTTTTTTCACATATATTCCCATTCTTTCTGTCAAAAAGACCATAATCCAAAAAATTGTCCTTTGAATATCAAACTCTTCATGTCTTTTCATTCAGCTTTGAAAGACTCAATTTTCTATGTCTTACTATAAAAAGAGAAAATTACACTGTTTGGTTGAGGCGAAATTAATGTTTACTATGATTTTCTATTTTAGCTTCTATAATTAATCACAATAGGAGTAAACTAAATTTTACCCACCCATGTCTCTGGCCTGATCTATTTGGTGTCACAGGCCTATAAGGGGGGCCCCAGCCTGGACCTACATTGACTTAAGCTATTTGTGAAACTGCTTTGAAGAGCCCTGTCCTATTCTGATCAATGGATTCTCAGTCATGCAGGTCCCCACCCTTCACATGAAAATCCTCTAATTGTTCAGCTGAGCAGTCATACTAGTCTCTTTTACTAATTACTATTTTATTATTGGGTCCTTGAACCCCTCTGAAGGAAAAAGAAATTGAACCTGTAATGAACTTTCACTGTCATGCAGTGATGTTTTCAAGAGTTCTTCAAACACTGGATGACTGAAATCTACAGAAAAATGGGACAGATGATTTAATTTCCCTCTACCCCTTCCATGGGAGAGACAATCTCTCAGGCACTCTCTGAAGTGCTCATGCAAATGGGTACTGTTAACAAAAACAGACAGATAAATATGTAGCCTCTGAAACCCATCAGGGACAAGATGGTCCTTCATAGAATTATTTGGGATCATATGGTGCAGAACATCTTCAAAATTAGATAAAACAATTTTGTTCCCAAAAGTGGATGATGGCAGTTTTAATGTATTACATGCATAAAGGACCTTCAGAACTGGACTGCTGAATGTGCTTTTGAAGAAAAAGTGTAAGCAGGCAAAGGTCTTCCAAACCTCCTGGAGTCTGAATTTTCCACTAGGGCATAAAAAGCTCCCTGGTTCTCCCATTAGTCTTTTTCCAGATGTAAATGGTAAGCATATAAGCAACCCAGTACTTTGCTAAGGTGAAAGATCCCTTTGGATATTATCTCCATCACTAAACACTGCGCTGGGTTTGTGTGGCGGGGTTTTTGGGGTCTGCAGAGATGACCTCCTGTGAGAAGCTTCTCCTCAAAGCTCCCCTGGATCTACGTTGGACCCGCCTCTGGCCAAGGCCAAACCAATTAGCAGCAGTGGCTATACCTCTGAAAAGGGGTAGTGGGGAGATGTGAGGAGGTGTTGTGAGAAGGACACATAAGTGAACATTGAGGTCAGTGGAAGAAAAGTGGAAGACCCCTCCTCTGTATCCCATGGTGAGATGGCAGGGCTGCCCCCCACCATCACCCATGGAGGTCCACAGTAGAGCAGAGGCCAACCTGCAGCTTGTGAAGGTCTCTACACTGGAGCAGGTGACTGTGTCTGAAGGAAGCCAGGACTCTATGGGAATAAAAAGCCCCAACGGTTGTAGTTCGGTGCTGGGAGGGCTGCAACACATGGGGGTGACACACACCAGAGCAGCATGGGAATGGCTACAGTCCAGGGTATGAAGTCACAGCAGAGAAAGTTCATGAAGGACTGTCTCCCATGAGAGGAGAACCACGCTGCAGTAGGGGAGAATGTGAGGAATCCTCCCGCTGAGGACGAAGGAGTGGCAGACTGACCATAACCCCCATTCCCTGTCCCCCTGTGCCACTGGTGGGGGAGGAGGTAGAGATATCGGCAACAAAACTGAGCCATGAATGAAGGGAGGGGTGGGGGAAGGTGTTTTTAAGATGCAGTAATACTTCTTACTGTCCCACTCTGTTAAATGTTTTTGCTGTTAGTGTTTGAATTAAAGCGATGTTCTCTTTTTTTCTTCCACTAAGGAGTCTGTCTTTTGCCTTTGACCATAATGGTAAGTCTTCCCTCCCTATCCTTATCTTTACTCCTGAACCTTTAACTTCATTTTCTACTTCCCATTCCTGATGGGGAAGGGGTGAGTGAGCAGCTGCATGGTATTCAGTTGACTTCTGGGCTCAAACCTTGACAAACACTGGTGGATACAGAACAAAACTGAAGAAAAGTTGGTTTTATTCTTCTGTGATATCCCCCCAGTTCTTTTTGACTTCCTATACCAACGAATCAGAATTATATCAAATAGTTGCCAAATGACCTATCCTTCCTGAGCTCTGAATGACTTTCAAAGTAGTTTTTATTAAAAACATTACAATGACTTAATTACTACTATTTATAGTGATAGCATAAGACCAAAAGTGCGTTAGACAACTTGTCTAGCCACAAACAGATATAAGACACAATCCTGGCATTGTTAAAACTGAATGATAGAAGGATTCAGGATTTCAGCAATGTTGAAATATAAAGGATATTACAGAATTATTACAGGATTAATTAAATAAATTACAAGATACAAAATGCAATGGCAAAACTATGCCACTGTCCTCACATGGAAGATTACAAAAGTCTCTTTACAAAAGAGGATGAGGTAGAGGGAAATCTCCAGAAGGGTTTTGAGAATGATAAATAGTCTGACATAATAGAAAACAAAACTACATTACATGAAAACTAATGTCATTTATTAGGTACTCTGGGACTAGAGGTATAAATGAAGAAAGTAAGGAAGCAAGGGAGGATGTAGGAGATACCCCAAGATATTCAAGTGCCAGAACTACTTAATTTAGGCACCAGCCTTATGTGCAATCATCAATTTGCCACTGATTACATTTCATTCAGGTTGGTTCCAGGCTTCAGAAGGACTGGCAATAGAAAATCTCAGGCAGAGAGAAGAGTTAAAGTGTCTGAATCTCATCTTTGGAGTCTCAGCACTCTGATCAGATAATCACAGAGCAAGATCTTCAGCTTTATCTGGTACCTCTCTACCACAAACAGAAGTTCTGAAGGCTTCATCTCCAAGAAAAGGGGGATTCTGACCATTGGTACATGCAGCAGACAGGCATAATGCTACTTCTGAAGGAACTCTGCAATTCGGAGGGTGATTGTGCACTGAGAGGATCAGTGCTGTGCAGCTGTAGATACATTAAATGCCATAGTCAGAGTCATGGCTCTGCAAAGATTCCAAGCCATGCTCTCACTCATAGGGCTGCCCACCAAAAATCAGAGCATCATAGGATAGTTTGGGTTGGAAGGGGCCTTAAAAATCATCTAATTCCAACCTCCTTGCCATGGAAAAAGGATACCTTCCACTAGAACAGGTTGCTCAAAGCCCCATCCAACCTGGCCTCGAACACTTCCAGGTAGTAGGCATCTACAACTTCTCTGTACAACTTGTTCCAGTGTATCATCACCACCATAGTAAATAATTTCTTCCACATATCTATTCTAATTCTACCCTCTTTCAGTTTAAAACTATTACTCCTCATCCTATCACTATTTTCTCTGATAAAGGGTCCCTCCCATCTTTCCTGTAGGCCCCTTTAAGTACTGGAAGGCTGCTATGTCTCCCTGGAACCTTCTCTTCTCCAGGATGAATAGTCCCAACTCCCTCAGCCAGTCCTCATATGGGAGGTGCTCCAGCCCCCTCATCATCTTTGTAGCCCTCTTCTGGATCTGCTTGAGCAGGTTCATGTCCTTCTTATGCTGGGGGCCCCAGAGCTGAACACAGTACTCCAGGTGGGGTCTCAGAAGAGCAGAGTAGAGGAGAATAACCTCCCACAACCT